GCATCGTACCAGCGCACACCCAGTGATGGCGAGCGATGTGTGTGTCAGTGTTCAAAAGTTGTAAAGGGGCGGGAAAAAGCAAGAGGAGGAGGGAGGTTGGGAAGAGTAGCTGCAGATGTAAAGACACGTGTTGTTAAGTCATTAACACCAACAGCGTCGTTCTCTTCTCTAACCTCAGCTGTGAGTCTGTTATTCGTTGTTGTTTGTGTTATTTTTGACATTTTTTATAGGTGGTTTATCTGTGTTTGAATTTGGCGGTTTTATGAATTGATGTGGTAATATTTTTTTGTTTCTGTTTGAGTTTTTTTTTGTATATTTTGCACAAGAGGAAAGGAACCAAATGTTACGAATATGATCCCAATTAGTTGATATGGTCTTAACAAGGGAAATGCAATATACTTGTATGTAAGTGAGAAAAGCTGTTGTGCGTGTGACGTTGTGTATCACATCTGGATAACCAACTAAAACAAGTAAAGTCGTCCTCCTTGACTATTTTAACCCATGCAAAAAGCTTCCATCACAATATGTTTGTTTAGATATCATAGATTATATTCACATTTATATTTTTACATTGGATTTTAGTCATTAAATATAGTTGTATGTAAAAAAAAAAAAAAAAGGAGCCACCCTTAGGAATGAATGATGGTGCTGTGGTAAATGAAGAATGATACTGCTTGAATTTATACAATGCTTACTATCGATGTACTTAAAAAAAGAAAAGTCATAAAAAAAAATTGCATGTCACAGGACTAAGTTTCCTTTTCCCTCTCTAGTCTGTGTTGTTGGCTGTTCAGGTTCTCTTTGTGTCCCTACACTTTAACCAGATTTGTGAGCTGTTCAGCGTAAAATAGTCCCTACCATGCTTTAAATAACTGTTTTTCATTGTATACACTGTGCAAAATGTGTGCCTTTATACTCCAAAATTATTTAATTTTATATTTTGTAATCTTTTTTTAAAACAAAGGTAAAAGGTTATTTTAATAATAGGGTGTTTACTTTGACATGCATTATTTCCAACTTTATTTTCAACCTTCTTCCACTCCGACCCCTCTGTATTTAGATCTGTTCATATTACTCAGTCAGTTAAACAAAACCATGCTAATGATTGTGTTTTAACCGACAGAAAGAAGTGAATAGCTGTCTTAAATTTGAAAATGGTGGATAGGTTTCAATTCTGTAAATTCAAATCCACCATCCTGATTATTCAGTGTGTACAGGCGTCCCTTTCCTCCTCCTCCAAGCGAGGCCGATGTTAATCCCTTGTTCATTCACGTTGGTCCTGCCTTTATAAAGAGTGTGCGTGCGTGTGTGGAAGTGCATCGTGGAACGTGCGTGTGTCGTGATTGTGTTTTGTCGTGCTAGTCCTCGCTAACTGATTGCTCCCCCCCCACCCCACCCAAACCTCAGGAGTCTGTCAGCGATCTTTCATCACATTTATTCACATACCACAGATGCAGTCACATTTCAGGAATGTGATTTTTTTTTTTTTTCCTTGAGTGTTTCTCCAAAATTTCACCTTCAATTCCTTTTCATTTCCAAAACAAGTTTATGTTCTCTTGCTTCCTTACCTCCATCTTTTTTGTGTAATCCAGATCACCTACGTGTTATCAGCTGATAGTTCATCCTGAGTCAGTGAATAGTTGATATTTCTGTGTTCTTTCACTATTAATGGGCTGTTTTGTTTCTATTGTCACATAGCTCATACTGTACATAGATTGTGTCCTAAAGAAAACGGAATGAGGGAACAAAATCGTCTTCTAGTCTGCTTTGCTCTGTTTGGCCCTGGAGGCTTCCCTGTAGTCAGACATAAGCAAGTAGAAAACAGATCAGTGCATGCTGGGAGAGTGAGTTCTCTTTTGCTTTGTTTTGGGGGATATTCACTCTGGATCTCACGTGTGAAAGGCGGTGACAATGCCAGACTTTAACAGATGCAAATTAATTAAAGACGATATTAACACACGCGCCCTGCTGCTGTACCGTAAAATGAATCCTTGCTTTTGTGACTTCTCTCATGAATGAGCTCCTTCACCCGTTAACCCCACCCACCGGTCAACCTGCTGCCACTGTTAACTTGCCAAAAGCATCTTTCAGCAGTCAGAACTACCCCACATGAGCTTGAAGAACATTGTGTATCATATAATGTGTTTGTTTGAACTGAATTTGTTTGTTTTTTAACGTGTACTGGGGAATTGGAGCGAAGTGTGCTGATATGTGAACTTATGTCCAAGGTTCTGGGAAACAGCCCCTGTGTTGATGTGGTTTAAGTGTTAAGGGGAATATTTGATTACAAATACAAATGACCGGAGGCCGGGCAAGATCTGCAGAGCTGGTAAAAAATGTCCTTTGGCTTTAAAGTATAAAATCAACAAAATCTTTTGTGGAGAAAAAAAAATAATTTTGGAAAGGATTTGAACCCTTTAAATTTGCATGTGGAAGTCAACACACACCGGGCCAGGAAAGGGTCCCCTCCTGCAGTTGAGCTTCGGTCTCACAACAGTCCTGAGTACTTTTAGACTACATCTAAAAGACTTACATTACTGTGTGTGTGTATGTGTGTGAGTGTGTGTTTGTTTATTGGTGTCTGACAATGGTTGGTGAGAGTTCCCTTTCAGTGGCAGAGAGGCCAAAATGTTGATGTATGTTTATTGTTCTTCACATTTAATGATGATGATGATAATAATAATAATACACTCCATTCCATAAGCGTTCACTCAAACCAATTAAAGCACTTGTTCTGCTTAACTCAAAGTCTACCTCTGATGTTTTTCCTTTGTTCTGAAATTCCGTGTCCCATATTTATTCCTTCGTTTTTAAATGTCTGTTGTACACTGATGTTTCTATGTTTAATGGCATGCGTCTCTCACTGGTGGAGAGGGGAAATAAATGCTCGGTTAACGAAAAGGAGCTTTGCGGGGTTTAAGCCTGATTTTAATTTTTCCAAAAACTATTATTCTTTTATCATTATTATTTTTATTTTTATTATTATTATTATTATTAACCTCGTGAATCAGTCTCATCTCCACTTAGTCCTCCGTTGCCTCTGATACAATCAAATACATCTCAATCCACATTTAAAGTAATAATTTGTTTAAATTTGGAAGAAAAACCTGAAAGATGAACGATAACGAAAAACGTTAAGGCGTTGAGAAAAAAAACGCTTCTTTCCTCTTTTTGCTGTATTTTTCTTTGTTTCTTGAATCGTCATAATGATAAAGCAATATCTCTAACTGCCTGTGTTTATGAGCTGGAGCAGATGTTCCCAGAGGGAGCCGCGCTTTTGACACACAACAAATGTGCCGTTGGAGACATTTCCATTTAGTTCCTGGATATAAATGAGCATAATGCCGCAAGCGCTTAAAATCGTTGCACTTTGCGTCATTTACACTTGAATTTATCACAACATATAAATAAGTAAATCAGAATTTAGCGCTTTAAACGGCACCGTGCTGCACTGTGTGTGCAGCCCGACTGTAGAGCTGAGCATGCTGGGAGCAGGGAGATGCTGTTTCTGTGAGTGAGTCAAACAAACACACAACTGACAGATAAAATCCAACAACCTGCTTATGGAAGAACAAGCTATTGTTACTCCGGTGTGCGTTTTTGTTGAAGAGGATAGACACCAAATAATAATAATAATATATCCTTTCTACTCGCTGAAGATCAAATGGAACAAATATAAATAATGTCAGAGTATATGGAAGCACAATAAAATGTAGCCTATTACATGCACACATCATTTTTTTTTAAATAAAAAGGTTTGTCGCAAAACTTTACCAGAAAACAGACCACGCCTTCATTAGTTCCTAATTATTCACATTTAAATTCAAATTTGGATGCCTAATTTTTATTTTACATTAGTGACTTCTTTTTTTAAAAATCATTATTATGCTTTACATTTATCACCCCGAGAGATGTCTGAACTATTGTAAATAACCTACAGTGAGTGTGTGCTATCGTCTGACCTATACAGTCTCTTTGGCTTTAGTTCTCTTTGCCATTTTCATTATATCATTTTACATATGATGTAATTTATACATCTAATGAAGGCTATTATTTCTTAATATTTAAAAAGAAAAAAAATTATATTCCAAAACCAGGTTCACACATTTTCATTCAACATGAATAAATTAGAATAAAAAAGATGTTCTTGGGTCCGCCGTTACACAAAAGGCAGTCTATTGCTTTGTAACGGGCTGTATAGCAAAATGCCAATGTTAGGCTATCCTACAGGCTGTACTAAGGAAATACGCAGGCGTCTTCTTTTTGATCCTATTTTTCCTTGTTTATACGTTAAATATAAAATATGCTCATTTTTATTATATTTATTTATATCCAATAAACTCGGCAGCTGTAGGCTATAACTTTATTCTTCCACATCAACTCAAAGTCTGCATTTATTCTTTTCTGAATAATATTAAAAAGGGAAGCAATCTAAGCCTGCTTCAAATCCCCAGAAAGAGATCATACACATCGCAGACCGGAGTCCTGTTGCTGTGTGGATGTAAAATCTGATTTCTGACAGGAGGAGGGGGAGAGGAGGGGGAGGAGGGGGAGGCGGCAGCTGCAGCAGCAACATGTTCAGATCTCCGCTGCGGTGAGAGGCGGAGGCTCATTTGCAGCGTCAGTACAATGTGGAGAACAAGCAGAGACAACCCAGCAGACAATAAACAAAGAGCGGCTCGCCATGTGCGCTGCAGCTGCCCCACACACACACACACACACACCCACACCCACACACACACACATACACACACACAGTGGAGCTGCAGTGGTGAGTCACAGCCGCCAGGAGGCAGTCTGACCCCTGCAAACCACAGCAGAGATGGAGCTGGAGATTCAGTATCACAGATATATAGAGTAGCTTATTCTCTGTAATGAAAAATGAAGGTGTGTAAGAGCTGCTCTTTAGGTTCAAATCTACGTGTCAGTGAGCATCCAGCCTACTGAAGGGTCTTTGAGCTGACTGTGACCTCTGACCTCTCTGTAGTGGGCACTTTAGGAATAGTTTATTCTATCTTTATTTTATCTTTAGGGTCTCTTACACAGCATATAGTGATACTATTGGAATATATGGTCCTAATACAGAATACAATGTATATAACACGATATAGAAAATGGAAAACTTTTTTCTGGTTTAAACAGCTTCAGTTTACTGTGAAGGCACATGCACGGTACATCCTCATGTTAACATTTCAGCAGGATGTGTGAGCTGATGTCAGGCCGGCTGGTAGTTCTCCAACCGCTCCAGCAAGACCTCCGAGTAGCCAGGCGAGTAGTACCTGAAACCACACACACACACACACACACACACACAGACATACGCACACACACACACACACACACACACACACACACACACTCAATGTGTTTTTTACTGAAGGATATTTTGTGCTTTTTACCATTATTATACAGCCAGGAATTTTCTTTTTACAAACAGTTTAACATATTTAATTGTATTTGCTGAGTTAATTCTTATTAAACCTTGATTGTAATTATGCAGTGTTCCTTTTACTGGAATTTATTTAGGCTTAATTTATTGTTAAAGCACTGTGTCTGAAAAAACGTGTGAAAAAAATGCAAAAAGAAATAAGAACGTATGATTGTTATAGGACAGGTTTTAGCTGACAGTGATAGGAAAGATGGTGGAGAGAAAGGACATAGTACTAGTACTTGTGCGAGTCACCACACAGCTCTGAAATTACTACTGTCTATATGGTCATGTGATCTAATCAGTCACTGCTAGATTACTGTTTTCGTTTATGTGTGTGTAGTGGGGGGTGTACCACACCTGACTATCTCTTCAGGGAAACAGCTGTTGATAGCGTTGATGTGCTCCTGAAGAAGGGAACCCGGCTCAGCCTCGATCTCTTGCAGTTTCTTCAGCCCCCCGCTGGTCACAAACAGACGGCGAGCCTTGCTATCATGAGGTAGAACCTTTGATAGGAGGAATGACAGGGTGTGTATTACAGATAGAAAACATGAATCACTAAAACCTAAAAAAAAACCTGACATTTATATTATAAAAATGCAGATTCAGGTTGGGATTCTGGCCTTAAGCTCACTCACCTTGCTGAACTGGCAGACTACATGTTTGAGGATGTTGCTTGGAACATCGTAGAGGAGGGGCTCCAGACCTGGCAGGTAGGTGCACTTCTGCAGGACACTCTTCAGAGCCTTCTTACTCTGAAGAGAACAGGAAGAATTAAACATACTGCACATATAAATCACATAAACCTTTTCCCTTCCTTTAAGCTGTGTTGCCCTTTACTTTGGCCGTTGATACCAGCTGACCTGTGACAGGAAATCTCACCATATATGACTTAAAAAAAGAGCTTTGTCCTCTTTCAGTGCTCACTAAGAATCCATCAAAGTTCAATTACCATTATCAGTTATTTGTCCCTCACTGTAAGTGTAAGCTGACAAAATATTAACAAGCTACTATAACATTTTAATTAAACTACTACAAGTGGTTATTAGCCAAGAACTAAATCTTCCTGTTTCTAAGAGGTTAAACATGAGCAAACGGTGTTTCCACTCTGCTTAATACACAGTCCCAGTGCCCATCAACCTGCAGAGCAGCAGCTCTTACTTTGGCCTGCAGGTCCTCTGAGCTGTTGGCATCCATGTACAGTTCCAGCAGTTTGGGCAGCAGGTGAGCTGTGGCCACTGCCTTGGCGTGCTCAGGGGTGTGGTGACCTATCTGGCCAATAGACCAGGCTGTGGCCGCCTTGATGTGATGTTCAGACTCCTCGGACAGACACAGGGCCAGCTGGGGCACCCCCTGCAGGACAGGAGGACACACAGCACAGCAAGACTGTCAGTCCAGTCAATATGACCTACATGCTGGACCTGAAGGGATGTGTCGGGTGTAGCTGTCACACACTGAAGGGGAAGTCAGAGGAGAGATTAACAACCACACACACACCTTGGAGAGAATGACCGCCATGGCTAGGTTCTCACTGTGAGCTGCCACATATCCCAGCATCATGATGGCCGGCAACCGCAGGTTTCCACGGCAATTGCCCAGATAGTCGATCACTGCGGCCATGCCACCACAATTCACGATCACCTGGGACAGCTGGAAAAACATACACACACACACACACACACACACACACATACACACACATATTACTTTGCGTCCGGCCACACATACGTTTTGCCTTACAAGTGTGTGAGTGTGTGCAGTACCTCTGGTGTGTGTTTCACCACCTCCCTCATCAGGGTGGTGACATTCTTCCGGACATACTCATCTGGATCTCTGAGGCAGGCCACTGCTGCAGGGAAGATCTCGGCCTCTATCACCATCTCTGCCAGGCTGACCGAGTGCTTACTGATCTGACTGAGGGCTGAGAACACCTGTCTCTGGATGGAAACATGTCGGAATAATTCACATTGTCGTAAATTCAATTAAAGCTGCATGACACTGATCTTATATGTTACTACACTACATCCTGCATGCATAAAATAAATCTACTGTGGAATTCTTGAAGTTACTAAATCTGTCTGCAGTTGATGTTAATATTCAACATTTAGACTTTTAATCGAAAGATTTCTATCTTGGAATTCTTTCAACTTTCTGTATGAATTAAAACTATTTCACCATCTTGGCATGTTTTATAACACTGATAATCTATGTTTACTCAAAAATTAAACAGATTTTCTACAATGGCTATTTTTACTCCATGCATGAAATCATTTTTGAAAATTATAAAATGAAGAGTGTTTCGTATTCGTGACAAAGAATATTATCAACTCCGTATCTTCAATAAAAATGTTTGAGAAAATGTTTCAAATCACTTAAATTAATTCATACAGAGGACAATTACATAGAGAAAGAACAATAACATGGAATAGAGCCCAACAGAAACTGTAATGGATACAAATATTTAGACAGTATGTCTTTTGAGTACATTTTTTAAAAAGTAACATTTTCACAAATCTGCTGTACAGGGGTCTTTTATAATTGAATGATATTGAGTGGGGAAAAACATTTATTTTGTTATGATGAAAAACAGCCTTAAGCTTCAATAATCAAAAATGGAGGGCACTTTGGTCACATGAATATTTAGCATGCATGTCTCAGGTATTGATTATATTTACCTTATATGACAAGGGTTGTTATAAGGTTTGTAAACATTTTACAAAGAAAGGAAAATAATTTAGATTATCAGTAAAACTAATTCCATAAAAACATCCAGTGAGAAATGTAGTTTCTTTCATTCATGCCGTCATACAGGGTCCGCTGAGCTAAACCAGCAGCTGTTCAAGTGAGACCTACCTTGAGTTTGGCGTCTGGATTGAGGATCATCTGTGCCAGATGTGCGATGGCACCACAGTCCACCACAGTCTGGGCCAGCTCTGGTGTGTGTTTGGAGATGTCGCTGAGGGTGGAAGCTGCGATGCGTTTCAGGGCCATCTCAGGTTCCAACAGACACAACACCAGCAGGGGAACAGCACCCGCATCCACAACCGACTGAGACAACACTGCACGGTGATGGGAAAACAAAACAAACACAGAAAGGTCAAGGCGGTAAATATGTGTGCAGAAAAAGGCAGAGGGAAATCAGAAATCTGAGCATGTTAGTGTGTCTTCCTTACATGCGTTGTGTCGTGCGATGAAGCCTAGAGCCCAGGCGGCTGCCTCCTTCACCCCGGGGTCAAACTCCTCCAGGCAGAGGACCAGAGCGTCAACTCCCCCGCAGGCCACCACGGCCTGGGACAGCTCGGGGGAGTGTTTGGCAACCGCACGCAGCACAAACGCTGCTGCCTTTTTATAGAACCTCTGTGTGCAAACACACATCAACTGTCACAGTCCAAACTGAGCATTAAAACAACATTAGACATTCATTAGGACTGAGATACTACAGTTCCATGATTTAATGACAAACCCCTGTGTAAAGCAATAAGATTAGATTTTTTTGTTTGGATTTAACCAATTAATCATTTAAAATCTCATGTAGCTATCCTTTTTACCCCGGTACTGTTTAAAGCTCATGTTTTGTTGTCTTAAATCCCTCAATTCTGTATGTGTAACAATAAGAATTGCAAAATCAACCAATTCTACCTTCAAATATTTTTCTTTTTACCCAATAACCCTGATCAACAGTAAGGTATTTCACGTTTTTACACTTTCACATTTGAGTGAGGTGACAAAATATCCAAATGATAATTAAACCTTATTATTACACCAAATTAGGACAGATTTTATATGTTTTTATATGCCATTGTACTCAGGTACTGCACAGTTTACATGAAGAAACAGTTTTTAATTAAATATCTACTCTTTTTGTCAAAAACATAATTCACAAGCAGTGGAATATATGTTATAACTTATTTAATTTGTGTTTTGGCTCAGTTAAACTGCAGAGAAGTCTAATGGTCAAAATCGTGGCTATAAGCAGTTCTGATAACATTTGTAAAGTCATGAGGCATTATGTTAACAAAGCAATGTTAAGTATGTTTTTTGAGCTGTTAAAAATGGGGTCTATATGATCCTAAACAGACCATTGCGGTGCATCAGCCCGCCTTTTAAAGCTGCAAACCCACGTCCAACATTGTGGTGTTTTTCTACAGGTTTAAATGGAGATTTTTGGCAAACACTGAATATTTGACATAAAATGTTTAAACATGTAAACTGGATAGTGTCCAACTTTCAGTTTATTTATGAGACCACAATGTCCCATTAATGACATGAACTAAACCATGTCTCCCTCCAGTCTGAGCCTCTCAGTGGGCTGAGAGAGAAAACAAAGGCCTGGTTGCTCTCATAGTAAAGGGCTCTTAGGTTTTGAAGTAGCCCCCAGGCGAACTGCCAGGTTAGCCCAAAACACACTCTCACATTCAGGGGACTGACCCTGGGGTCCTGCAGGGTCTCTGGCTGTGTCTTTTCTTTCCCTCCCTCAAACACAAACACACACACACACACACATATATATATACACACACATACACCAGTATAAAACTAGCTCTCATACGACCAAAAGGATGAGATACTGACATTCTGCGAGGCCAGAGAGTGGACCAGCTGGGGCAGGATGTCTTCCTTCACCACGGCCTCGGCCAGGTCATCGCTGTGGTCTGCCAGGCGGCCAAGAGCCAGAGCTGCCGTCTGCTGGATGCTGGGGACCACATCCAACATCAGGGGGCGCAGCATGGACATTACACCTGCAGAGAGGAGAGGGAGGGGGGAGTAAATACTTGGAGTAGCAGCTCAGGGGAACATTTTATCATCTTGTTTTCTTACCAGCATTTTGAAGCATCTCTATGTTTTGGGGTCTGGATGCTAAATCAGCGACAGTTTGCACAAACTGCATCCTTGATTTCTGATACTGCTCAAAAACTGCAAAGACAGACAGAAAGACAGTTTGACTCCTGGCTGAATCTTCCTTTAATGAATGTAAACAGCTCACTAGTCTCACCTTGAATGATGTGTCGTTGACTCATTGTCACTCGGATGGAAGAATGCCTCCTCTTAGAGATGAAATGCGCTTTATCTCCCCACAAAACACACCGATACGATCACAGCGTCGTCTCCTGGCCGTCTCCAGGTTCGGGTATAGGTAGTGTTGTTGTTGTTATGTGTTGCCGTGGAAACAAGACAGGAAACAGAATTTGTGCTGCCGAAGATCGTCTACTGCCAAGATGAATCACTCGCACCTCGCGAAGAGCTTTTTTTATGTTTCCCGGAAATACGCCGAGGATGGGAGGTCTGTGCCGCTTCCTCGTTTTTCGGTTCCCGCGAAAAGACAACCGCAGACATGTTGTAGGCTTTTCAACAACAGCGTCGATTCAAAGGAAAACACAACCGCGAAATGGACGCGGCCATTGGCTGAGAGAGTAAACAAGGTTTTAGCTGACAGTCTGCGGGTTGAACCTGCTCAACACTGCAGAATGAAAGAGGGTTTTTTTTTTTCTTTCTTTTACTTTTGCTTCCCTCGGCTGCTCAAGTGTGTCCTCACATGACCTGCATGGGAAGTTCCACTTTCATAATGTGTCAAAAAGAAGAGCAATAAACATTATTAGTATCATGGTGCTTATATCGTCTCTGTTGGTATTGTTTTATATTTGTGTCGCCGCTGCAAAGGAAGAAGAAAAGGGTATAAGTTACATGAAATAAAAAATGTTTGAATGTAAAATGAATAATTAAAGAAGTAGCCTGTGAATAAACATAGGTCCAATAACACTGTATAATCTGGGATATGTTGCATATAGCTGGATGGCTGAGGGAAAGATATTTCAGATGAAGCGATTTATTTATGGGAATGCTCACTTTACAAAGTTTCTGTAATCAGTAATAACTTTACCAGCATTCAAAAGAAAGATTAAATCCTGAACATTGTAGTCGGATCATATTCCATTACTACATTTTGTTAAGCTACTTTTGTTTGCTTTTTCACACATGTAATGCACATATGTGTTGTTGTTTTTTAACGGGGGGGATAATTATCACATTAAACTAAATGAACCGTACCATCCAGTTGAGCTCCAAACAGCAGATATTGCTGAATAAGGCTATACTTTGTGTTCTGTGAAAATACTGCCGGACTGAACCTGCTTATTCAGTTTAAATCCGAGCTGCCAGATGAGTTTGTTTAAACTCACAGCTGTGTTTTGGGGGATTTTATTGTATATCTTTAAATTAATAAAATTTTGGGTTGGAACATATTTTAAATTTTTTAAAAAGAACATCTTGTTAATTATGACTATTTTAATTAAATTTTAATTCATTTTAAAAATAAATATTTAGTAGCCTGTAGCATCCAGTAAATCATAAAATGCCTAAAAATGTGACTTTCACAAACAGCAAATGCCAGTTACTTGAGAATTAACTACATTAATTGTAGTCCGTGTGTGTGAGAGTGTGCGTCAAACTCCCGACAATGGACAATGACACAAAAACTCAGTAGAGACTCTCAGCACAGGGTTTTTTTTATTACATGCCTGTTATGGTACACTCAGTTAGCTGCCAGTGTGTCGGATAGCCTTCAGAGATTTAGGGGAAGATCTACCCTCAGTTGGCGCTCGGTGGTTGAAGTCAAGCTTAATGTTATTGAGGAATGTCTGAGTCAAGAAGATAGCAATGAATTAAAAAAAAACACAGATATTTAATTATTCATAGAAATGTAATAAAATCCACTTCATTTTATGCAGCATATTATTAATTACAGTTAAATGTATTTCAGATCAGAAAGGGAAAGGAGAGAAATAAGACAGAGAGGCAGGCTTACGTATACGTGAATTAAAGGTTGTCACACATTAGGAAATGCTGATTTGTCTAAGGCAACTTGGCACTAAGAGTAATGATATGCACCATTTCTGTGTCAGTGTGATAGCTGTGTTTTATCTTTTCATTTAATGTGGATTTAGTGTGTTGGCGCCATATCACAATATATTCCAGACGTCTGAATTACAAAAAAATGCCCACATTAGGCTTTTTTCACCTATGTAAATGTCTTGCCACAGTCTATATTATATTTTATTCCTGTATATTCATTTCTGCACTATTTTATGTCTTTTCTCTTTTTCATACACATTATTTTCCTTTTTAAAAGTAAATTTAATAAATGAAAGAACAAATAGCCTATTACCAAATTAATAAGACAAATAATTTTGTAAGAAAGTAAATTCCACTCAAAAACTATGCAGAATATAACATTTTGTACATTTGACAAAACAAAATAATTTTTGGGGCTATTCTTACACACCATCAGTGGTGAAAGAAGTAATCGGATACTATAGATATATAGTATTATAGTATAGATATATAGCTAGTATTATAGTATATAGCCTACTCTTAGTTATAGAGACTGTAAGTACTGACACCACACTTTGAAAATACTCCACTACAAGTAAAAGTCTTATTAGCATTAAAAACTGTAAAAAGTATAATTAGCTAAATATACTTAAAATATAAAAAAAGTACTCATTCTGCAAATCTTAGTTATGATGTTTTTGGATTAATATTACTGCTTAATGTTTATATTGCATTTTACTGCTGGAAGGTTGAGCTAATTCTAACTATAGGCTACTGATTAGTGTAATCTACGGTGATCATATTCTATAAGCTCATCATATGTTGTTAGTGTCTCTGTCTCTAAAAAGTCAACTTTTCATGATCTTAGAAAAACAGCCGTGTATTCAGCTTTGTGGCTGTGTGTTCTCCAGAAATTTTTTTTAAATAGCTCATTTAGCTTAAGAAGTACAGGAACATTTTCTGAACCCATAAAATAAAGGAAAAATCCAAAATCACTAAAAGTAGCTAGAGTAACTAAAGTTGTCACATTGTTGAACGATATTTTCCCAAATGTATTAAGCTGCATAAAATACTCAAAGTACCTCAAATTTTCGCTTAAGTACAGTACACCTCTTCCTTTTCCTCCTCTTCCTCCTCTTCCTCCTCTTCCTCAACGGCCTCAACACTAATTATCTTTTTTCCAACGGTTTGAACTTTGACTTTGAATGGCACTCTGCACAATTTCTTCCCTATTGGGTGCCAAACAGCCAGCTCAGTTTCAAACACAGTATCATTCTCCTGCACCAGAAGCTGCAACATTCCCGGCTTGTCATCGCACTCCAGCACTCCCATCACACCCAGAATGCAAGTTTTGACTGGGACGTCCTGCAGGGAGAAAATGAATCGTTAAAACAGAGAGGTCCCTTGGATCTTTATTACCCACAGATTCATGCATTACATCTTCTGGTAAAGAGTGGGGGAGCCATTTTAATTAGCTGAAACTCTACAGTAAAAAGAAAGTAATTCATTGCATGTAGGCCTACTTGCACTTTGTTGAACTGGTTACTATTGAAATCTGTGACATATCCATGTCTTTCTATTTTAATTTGGATACATTTTAATCCGTACACCTTGCTGCATATTATCCTTAGAGGATTTGGTTTTTAAGATGCAAAATCTATGTTTAAAAAAAAAGCCCAATAAAGAAGAACCTACCTCAAATGCTGTAAAGGTTGTGGACTGCAGGTGGTGTCCATATTTTGATGTGACTGATCTCAAATGTGTAAGCTTTATTTGGGCTCCCTTCTGGAGTGGCAACACAGCTGCCTCCCTCCACAGGTTTACTGCAACCTGTGTGCTGTCCTTCAACAACAACAAAAAAGGACTATTATTTTTATGCTCCCAAACCCAAAAAACTTTTAAATAAAAATCTCCTGAAAATCAGCTATAAACAGACTACACCCAGTAGCATATAAAACGCCTAAAATTGAACTTTAACACTAAGTAATAATATAGAATAAATATATTCTAAATAATACAAGACAGTGACATCTGTCTTTGAAGAAAACATTTACTTTTAATACATTATAACACTAACTGACTTGAATCTTATCAACAAAATGTACAGCCTACTTCCTGTAAATTCAGCATCCTCAGGGGCACCACATTGTTCTTCACCTGCATCCGTTTGATGGCGGAGATCTGAAATGATGTATAGGTATTCATTTTATGCTCCAAGATCACAATATGAAAATATAACTGAATCTTTTTGAATGAATTAACTGACCTTCACCACCTCCCCCTCCACCGTCACCAATCCCTGCGTCTTCTTGATGCCTTTCAAGGGACTCATCTTGGAGACGGGATTGAGGAGCCTCTCCGCCTCCATCTGCAGCTTCTGTGACACCAGCACTGGTGTCGAACTGAAAAACTGTGTGTCCCTGGAAACACTGATCTGGTAAGGTGGGGACTGTCCTCTAAGGGTGTAATGTCTCATCACATACCCCTGACCAAGAGTTACCTTAGCTGAGTACTCCTCAAAAAGCAGGAGTTTAGCTACAGAACATCCATCACTAATTACAACCATCCTATTTTCTTTTGTTACTGATGGTTTGGCCTCACCGCTGTCGGTGAAATTCCATGAGACAACCCTTGGCTGGTCTTTAATGCAGACCACACCAATGTGTAGAGGTTGGAGCCGAGAGAGCAGCGTCCCTTTCTTCTCCATCAGAATTCTTTGTAGCGCCATTCTAAAACAAATAAGCAGAAAGTTATGTTAATACAGAGTCAGCTATGTCCACTGCAACAGATGTGACAAATGATACCTTAAAAGAACTAGACTGTTCTCAAGCCATACAGGGAAAAGTTGGGGGTGAAGGAAAAACATCAGTCTGTATATTGATGGGTTTTTTCCCAGGATCATTTATATTTAATATAGTTGTAATTGCTTATTTTAGAAGGTTTTATACCACAACAGCCACAACAACTACACAGGCAGGAATACTGAACTAATGCATAATGACAATTGCAAGGAGAGGAAGAGGGAGTGAGGAAGTGCAGGGCAAAGACCAAGGATATATTTTCATTAACGATTAATCTGTCGACCATTTTCTTGAGTAATCAATTAGTTGATTGGTCTATGAAATGTAAGGAAACTATGAAAAATGTAAAATGTAAGGCAACGTTATCAACATTTTTAAAATGTTCCACAAACATGAATGAAAGGGTTTGCCAACTATTTGATAATCGTCATTTTTTTGTGCATTTTTGGTTCCAGCTGACGAACAACAACAATCAATCGATGAATATAGAAAACAATCAGCAGATTAATCAAAGATTAAAATAATCGTTAGTTGCAGTCCTACGCAAAAAAATGAAAAATGAGCTCCCCCTCAACCAACTACAACATAAAAGATTGTACTTTTATATTAATACACGAATAATAATAATAATAATCTAATATTTAACAGTCATAGGGGGCATTTTTCTGCATTGAATACTAAGTAACTGTTCCTGCGTATACATTATTACACAATGCAAGCCTTTGGCTACTTTGCCACTAGGCCTTGGCTGCACTCAGCTACTCCCTAAAACACCTCAATGCGTTGCGGTAAAATAAAGCTCCATCTTGCTTGCCCGTTATAGACGAATTGATAACGGATAAGGTAAAGGTAAAGCCTCTTTCCTTCCTCAAATACCGATGTACCGATGAATCCCAGTAAAAAAAAAAAAAACAAGAAATCCATTATAAGTTTAAACATTTTTTATGAATGATTAGATTCATGCCAGATTCTTCTGCTGCAGCTTTACCCCCTGCTTCGTGCAGCCATTAATCGGACCTTTTCCACGACTAGGTTTTCATATTAAAAGAATGGTTTAGCCATATCATGTTATAAAATAGTTTAGCCTACATTACTATACTATAGTGAGGAAAAAAACACAAACCTTTCTTTCTAAAGTGTCTTTAACGCGGTAAAACCTTCGTTGGAGATGAACTCGCTTAATGGACTTGTTCCGCCGGTCTCTCGGTTTTGCGGAGCAGAAGAGGGAAGAGACAAAGCCACAGTCTCTTCTGGTATTTCTCCAGTTCTAATATGTATTTCAAATTAAAAGCCCTGTTTTCAAATTAAAAGCCCTCTAGAGTTGTATACACTGTCCAGGCGTATGTGTGTTTTTTTATGTATTATGGATCATGGAGAAGGTATTTTGAAAAATACCAAATTGCCTCTCCATCTTCTGAGGTGACTATCAGCTGTTCCAAATGAGTCTCTTGTGTCATGTCAGCAGAGCATGATATTACGTCATCCTTCCCAACTTGAATGATTATTTATCAATCATCAGTTCAAGGTTAGATTAAAGATTAGTTGATGATCATGTTCACCTGGGTAGTCCAGATCAAAATCCTTTATGCAAGTGATAATCGGCTTCATGTTTATAAATATGTGGCGGGAATTCTGGGGTAAAAGCAACTAATGCACTAGCCTATATGGACAGGGCGATGCAACTCATGGGTTGTTTAGTAAGTAAATGATCTTGAATTAAAAGCAATAAAGGGTTCGTAGTCAGCTGAATGTTAATACATTCATTATTGAACATTTGTTGAACGAGAAGATTAACTTGTAACTCCACTGTTACAAGTTGTGTGAATATTTGACAACATTCATATGAAGGACAGAAAACGTTTACTTAACCAGTGGGAACATAGCCTAAGTGAAAATGGTCAACATCAACAAAAGAATGAACACATGCACATAATAAGACATTTGTTGAACATTTTTTAAATGTTCCACAAACATGAATGAAAGGGTTTGCCAACTATTTGATAATCGTCATTTTTTGTGTATTTTTGGTTCCAGCTGACGAACAACAACAATCAATCGATGAATATAGAAAACAATCAGCAGATTAATCAAAGATTAAAATAATCGTTAGTTGCAGTCCTACGCAAAATAGTTAAAAATGAGCTCCCCCTCAACCAACTACAACATAAAAGATTGTACTTTTATATTAATACATGAATAGTAATAATAATAATCTAATATTTAACAGTCATAGGGGGCATTTTTCTGCATTGAATACTAAGTAACTGTTCTATACATTATTACACAATGCAAGCCTTTGGCTACTTTGCCACTAGGCCTTGGCTGCACTCAGCTACTCCCTAAAACACCTCAATGCGTTGCGGTAAAATAAAGCTCCATCTTGCTTGCCCGTTATAGATGAATTGATAACGGATAAGGTAAAGGTAAAGTCTCTCTCCTTCCCCAAATACCGATGTACCGATGAATCCCAGTAAAAAAAAACAACAAGAAATCCATTATAAGTTTAAACATTTTTTATGAATGATTGGATTTATGCCAGATTCTTCTGCTGTAGGCTACCCCCTGCTTCATGCAGCCATTAATCGGACCTTTTCCACGACTAGGTTTTCATATTAAAAGAATGGTTTAGCCATATCATCGATCAGAAGGATCGGTATCATGTTATAAAATAGTTTAGCCCACATTATAATACTATAGTGAGGAAAAAAACACAAACCTTTCTAAAGTGTCTTTAGCGGTAAAATCCTCGTTGGAGATGAACTCGCTTAACGCCGGTCTCTCTGTTTTGCGCCGCCCATAGTTTGCCACAGATGATAGGCTATGGCCAATCAGAGAGAGAGAGAGAGAGAGAGAGAGAGAGAGAGAAACAAGAGAACACTAAACCAAACAGTAAACGTCATAGGGAAAAGTTCCTGGACTAGTGTGATTTCAAGACCAGAAATAGAGACAGAAAACCTGTAGACTGACGCGCCAGTGTGTGTGAACCGGTGTAGACTCTGGAGGAGAGGTTGGATTAGGGAAAGCATTTCCTTCTCACACAGACTGAAGAGGGTGCAACCTAATGCAACCAAATGCAACCTAATGCAACCAATTGCAATAAAAGCGGGATAGCTCGCAGCCATTTGTTGTAATAGATTGCTCTCTGATTGGTGTTACTAAATATTTACTATTTAGGCTAAATCTTTTATTTTTTAACCCTCTTTAGGGCAGCTGAGTAACAGAATGATTCAAAGCATAGAAAATCTGCCCTCTTTCATACCATCTATGTTAAATAATAGCCTAATCAGTCGTAACCTGCTAGGACAGATTAGTCCTCAGCTCATTTTCCATTGAAACTGCCGATATTCAGTGCAGTGTAAATGTCGTTATTTGTGGGATAAATTATCAACACGCACAAAAAGAACAACTTTAAAAGGCTTCCATGTTTAACTGGATGTATTTAGAAACATGATTTGATCACAGGCTAGATCTCAGAGCTGGCTTCCTTACTTAAGTTAACTCCATCACTGCAAACACTTACCAACCAGTCCCATTTCTATTATTGCTGTATTTGGTTCAATATTGCAGAGCATCGGGCTGACTTTATGACACAAAAAGGAAATCGAACTTTTTTTCCATAAGTGTAAAATGTTTTATTTAGATGTTTTATACTGTGCAACAGTAACAATACAATAAGTTGTCCATACAATCGAGCGATACAAATACGGAAAACACGGGAGACATCAAAACATCTGTCATTGAGCATGAAATGGAGCTGAACAGGACCCCAAGTCATTCCCTCAGAACGAAGGGGAATAAGAGAATAACATCATCGCTGATTAAATATGCATTTCGTTTCTATTTACACGTGGATTCTCTAAAACTGCTTATAACGTGTTAAAGACGTGAAGCATAAGCAATCCGATTCCACTGCAGCTACAAGAAACTGTTTTTTTTCCAGTAAAAGGCAATTTAAAGTTGATTTTTTTTTTTTTTTCCTCCAGAGGCAAATATTCCGTGAAGCCAGGCAGCAGCGCTACACAAACTGTTTTTTCCTTTTGCCGGAACAAAACCCGAAACACTTCCAAAAACGCGTCAAAATGACACTTGTGGGGTTAAACACGCAGAATCCTCTTCCATAATAGAAAAAAAAAGTGTTATCATGAGCATGCATGTTTAAATTGACAGTTTCAAAATATCCCAACACACATGAAATAATCATGATAAACACGTTTCATTGGAAAAAAAAAGAAAATATAAAAGTCTATCTTGTCACTTCTGTAAAATAAAGATGTAGCTTTAAAAAGGAGATAAATGCTTGTCCTTTTCCTTTCCAACTTTCTTTTTTTTTTTCATATTAAAAAATTCCCACGCCACCCAACTTCCTCCTTCCTTTTATTTTGAAATGCCTCTGATTCCACTACGTTTAAACTTACATATGATGCCATAATATTCAGAACAACAAATGGAGAGAGAAAGAGAGATAACATTGTCTACACAATGGAACTACGTTGGCATGAAAACAGTATTAGCTGAGCGGGTGTCTGGCGTTGGCTGGTCCGGCTCGGTCCGGAGCCCCGCGTCATCCTGAGGAGGTCGACGAGCCGTTCAGAGAGACCTTCCGGGGCTTGCTGCCGCCACTGCCGCCGCTGCCGAACTGAGTGAAGGACCGGCTCGGGGTCGCAGGGGCGGCGGCCGGGGTCCCGTTGACGTTATTAGGGCCGTGCGGGAGCTGCGGGTGCGGGGACTGCGCGGGTGTGCCGGGGCTCGGCAGCGACGAGGACGTGGACGGAGCCCCGGCGGGACTACCGGCTTTGTCGCTGGCGGAGTCGCTCTCCGGACCGGATCTGCTCGCGCTGTTCTGGCCTTCCTGCTGTGCATGGCTCACCTTCATCTTCTTACAGTTGGGTCGGACTCTGTACTTCAACGGCAAAGGCCCGTTCTAGGTTGAATGAAGAGGTAATACGAGGATATACAAGTTGAATTAAAACCATTAAAAAAAAAACTAAAAATCACAACAACTTATGATAGCTAATTAGGCTACTTAAAACATTTAATATATATAACCAAACACTTTTAAAACGACAAAATATATTCTGAAGGACAGGGAAAGCACATTTCTCAGCAACAAGAATTAAATGTATTTTCAGATGAGTTGTATTTTTCCTCTCCTCAGGGGATAAAGACCATGTTGGCCTACAAGCCAAATGAAACATTTGGAAAGTTAAGCTATATAAAATTGGCTGAGCTAGACCCTTCCCCTCAGTAACCTACTATTTTATGTTTAAATAACAAAAATGTAATTAAAAATAGTTTTTCAATTTACCAAATTTAGTGTCTGCACCCCTTATAACAAAGGTGTGGAAACCCATATTTTACAAGCTTTTTTTCTGAGCAGTGTATAAAATCAAATGTATGATCCTCAGATTGTTAATTAGTCAAATATAATGTATATAGACTCATTTCAACATCAACACAGGTTGTCAGTCATTATTTTGCTGTAACTAAATACAGATTTTTTTACTCCAGACAGACATGATATCAGCAACATTTATTTAACTTAAAATGATCAATACTTTTATATATTCTGTACATAAAAAGGCGGCAAAAAACAAAAACATTTATGCTTTATGACTGTTAGTTTCACAACTTTATGAGGACTGAAATTAAGTCTACTCTGTCCAAAAAGATAACTTACTCTTCTCCAAGTGTAGATATATGCTATATCCATTAACGTGTAGTAATCTTTCAGAGGTTCGTCTTCATACATGACTTCAACCTAGAGAGGAAAAACGAAAAGTACATTTTAATTTGAATGGAATAAAATATAGTAAAGACATCTGCATTTAAGAAAGATATTGAATTCTCTTGAACCAACAAATGTATATTCAAGTCATTTAAAATGTCCACATTTTATTTGTCTATAAAGAAAAAAAATCCAGTAAATCAATAAAGACCTGGTAGGTGCTTGGGATGTCCATTTTGCTGCGCAGAAACTTCCTCAGATGCATGACTGTCATGGCTGCCGGACACTGCAGGTACCTCTTGTTAGCCACCTGGAAATGGAGTATTCCAAAATTATACATATGACAATATATTTGTATGTATATTGATATAGAGTGACCAAGGACCTAAATGATTACTAGTCTGGTCCACCTTAAAAGCAGGAACACAATCTGCTTTACAGAAAGAATGTAGTAAACTGTGTGGACAGATTTTACAATAGAGCTGGTGGATTAATATTCTTTAGTTGCTGCCTTAAAAAGGAGGCTGTAGTATATAATACATTCTTATTTTGCTCTAGAGGATGCCAACAAGGAATAGTTCTGGCAGAGAAGAGTGTGGCCAAAATCAGCTCGCCATACCTGATCTTTTGATGGCTTGTTCTCAACTCCAACTCCCAGTCTGCACAGAATACAACAAAAAGAGAATATTAATAAATGTACAGCTCTGTGATATATGTCTTTCTATATGTCAACACCACACAATAACAACATTTGATCAATAAGATAACTTATTTAAATATAATATATATTTGTGTATCTACAGAATCCACCACTTGAGTGAAAAGTACACTTTATTGTTTTCCTCTTTTTTCCTCCCACAGATATTAGTTATTTTCTTGAAACTTTATCTGACACAAACAGTACTTGCAGCTTATTCCTCATATAAACACCCCTTAAAATATGTTTATAGTATTGCAAGGAAACCAAGAAGGCTGTCACTGCCTGAAACAATATTTCAGACCATAAAATTAAATTAAATACCAATGAAGTGAAAATAATTAAATTCATGGTGAAACAGTCAGGGACAATACATTAAATATTTCACTTTAATTTCACTTCCTTAAAAAAAAAAAAAAAAAATTGAGGGTAGAAAAATACTTCTAACACTCAGACTGGATCTAACCAGAGATAATGCAGTATATTTAGGTCATATCTTCCTTTCATATTTAAATAAAATCTGATGTAACACATGGCTTTACCCAATACGTGTGCTTAAATTTTTTCTTAAGCATATTATGGCATTATTAATAAAGACATTTCTCCACATTGTAACTAAATTAAATATTACATTCGATACTCTTGTTAAAAACAACCAAATGTCATTAAAAATGTAGAATATTATTCAACAACTAAGCCAAACAACTACCTGGTCTGATCAAAGAACTCAATAGAGAGGCTGATGATCTCATCGTCTGTGATAATTCTCTTGTCCTCGTCTGCCACCTCTCCACGATCCTCATTTGATCCATTAGAAGCTGTAGAAAAACACACACACATATAGATGCACTGAATACCCAGGAAATAAAGTTAAAAATAAAAAATAAAATGGAACATTGAATTGCAATGAAACACCTACGGAGTGTAAAGTCTTTTGTTTCTTCTAAAAGTTTAGGAAATGTGATTCTCTCTTCACCGTGGCAGGGAAATTACATAACACACACATTTCACACTTTCTAACTTACCATCTACTGGGTGCTCAGCATAAAAGTCTCTCCTCCTCTTCATTTCATCTGAGGATAATCAGGAAGACAATGAATTACAAGTCTGTTCACCATTAGTCTTCACTGAGATATAGATCTGAACATTGCAGTGCATTCAATAAGGCCAGAATGGTGGTAGCAATGTAAGAAATTCACATTAATGGTTTGATTTAATACATGATGGATTCTTTCAATACAGCTAAAACAAACTGTGCCTCAAAATCTGCCATACATCCCACTGAAACGAGTTTTGCATGACCTATTTTGAGAGGTTTGATCAACAGCACACACATATACCACCACACAAGAGCAGAACTTTACAA